GGCTTGGGCCGGGGTGGGGGAGGAGCCCTGTTGAAGGTTCTGCTCTCTTTCCAGCCCCGTCTGACTCTTTGCAGGCCTGAGAAGGCTGTCTCCTATACTCTCTCTTGGATGTGTCTTTCTCAGTGGTCTGTGGGTGGGTGTGAGTGGGGTGACCTGGGAAGGAGTATTCCTGATCCATCCTATTCCCCCAAAACCCACCTGGTTGAGGAGAAAACCGTGCAGGGCAAGGTCACCTCTCTCCCCTGACCCTCATTCACTCATACACCGGTTCTCACCATGTGGGGAACGGAGACCCGGAAGACACAGAAGAACAAGGTGATGTGTGGGGCTCCAGAAAGGGTACCATGGGACACACCATCTGTGGGCAGGTATCATAATTCCATGTGCCTATTTGGAGCAGTGTCAGAGAAAGATATGCTGTGTACTGGTCCTGTCTGCCCAGAGTCATAAGGGTTAATGGAGACTGGCCTCGCCAGCTGGATAATAACCGGAGGTAACTTAAGTGAAGATCCAGCTCTCTAGCTCGGATCCTGTCACTGTGGCCTCAGTATGTGGAAGTATGGAAGGGGTGACTGTGGTAAATGACTCTCCCCCAGGACCCTGTGGGAGAAGTATGGTCTTTGACTTCCGGACACCTCTGTCTGCTATGAGCCTTGTTTTTGTGGACTCAGTCTCTGAAACAAGAATGTAGTTCTGGTTGGTTAGAGTCCTTTTTTTCCAGAATGGGTGGGCGAGTGAAGCCCATTCTGCTTTGCCATCTCCCTCGCCTGGACCTCAGCAGCTAGCTGTCCCTTGGCAAATGGTCTTTCTCAATACCTGGGGGTGACGGGGCAGGGAGGGGCATTCTTTGCCTGACAGTGAGCCTGGGCTCCAGAGGGCTCTTCACAGGGTTGGCTATAGGTAGTTGTGAGTTCCGGGGTTGCAGCAGGATTCAGTCTGGCCTGGGGATCTTTACTCTTCCACTCCCCAGCCAGTACAAAGCCTCCGGCCTGCATGCCCTTTCTAACCTGACCTTAGTGAATGTTTCCTTTCTCCTTCCTCCTTTCAAAGCTGGGATGGTATTACCCTAGAATGCCATCTTAAATACCTTTAAAACATTATCTAAAATCATCAAAAATATGGAATGCTTCACAGATTTGTGTGTCCTCCTTGCTCAGGGGCCATGCTAATCTTGACACAGGAGGCCTTTAACACCAAGCCTGTGTCAGATGCGTATCATGGGTCACCAAGATGGCTTACACACCCATCAGTTAGTTCATTCTCTTCCTCCATCCCCCACGGTAGGATTTCCCCTCCTTGAGCACCTGGTAACTGACAGGAAATGGCATATGGAGCAGCCACACCCACTGGATAGAGAATACTATGCCCAAGGCAACATAAAAGGTGCTCTTTTCCCTAAGTGGAACTGGCCCAGAAATGAATAAATACACAACACAAACCATGGCACCCTTCCAGTGTTCCATAGTCAACATGTCTAAAGATAGTCATGCAGAGAAGAACTGAAATACTCTCTACACAGCATCCAGACAGGGCCTCTTGTGAATGTGGTCCTGCCTCCAGAGATTGTGAGACATTTCTGGGTACTTGGGAGGTGGGGGGTGGGGACCTTCACAAGCCTGTTTAGATGGCCTTGGCCAACCCATTCTCAAGTGGGAGCAGCCATTAATTAGTTCTCTGCTGCCACCATGTGGCCATGATGGTGATTCCCCCCCCCCCAGGACAATGCACCCCTTGAGGGTAATTTGTTTCTCAACTGTGGGATCCACAGGAGAACCCCTTTATTACTTTTCATCTGTGGGTTCTGGAAGAGCTTCAAGCTAGGTATGGGCCCCTGCAGTGTTAAGTATGAGCACTCCTAAGGTAAACTCACTGGGTTTAGCCTATTGCTGGTTGAGGATTTATTTAATTTTCTGAGATTTTTTTGTTTGTTTGTTTTGTTTTGTTTTTTGAGACAGGGTTTCTCTGTGGCTTTGGAGGCTGACCTAGAACTAGTTCTTGTAGACCAGGCTGGTCTCGAACTCACAGAACTCTGCCTGCCTCTGCCTCCAGAGTTCCGGGATTAAAGGTGTGTGCCACCACCGCCTGGCCACTACTCTGAGATCTTACCTCAAAGGAATGCTAGCCACTTTGCCCTCCATGATGGGCTCAGACCTCTCTGAACACTGTTTCAGAGGGTTAGGACTAGTCTTCTTCTCCAACCCAGAAATCACTTTAGTAAAATCAGGGGTTTCTCTCTAACTACAGTAACATCAGACTGCAGCTCTAAGCAACTCACCTCACTGTAGTTTTATCCAGAGGTTGAAAACCCCTGGACTTGTGGATTCTGCCAGCTTCCCTGCAGATAGTGTCAGGTTCTTCTCTTTGCAAATGTTGGGGCCTCTATTAGGAATACCTCCTTTATATGCCTGTCATCTAATCCTTGACCTCCATATAGGTAAACCCACACTCCTAGGTGCCCACTGTCTTGGGTACCAAAGCTTATCCTTGACCCCCTTTTCCTATCCCTGAGCAGAAGTGAGATTGAACTAGAGAGAAGCCGAATATCCACAGAGTAGCCACCAGAAGCTCTCAGGGGCTAACTGCTGATCAGAACAACCAGCGACGTCGGTCTTCGAATCACCCTGGTTCCAAAGGGTTGATCTGACATCCCTGGTCAGCAGCAATTTGAAGAAAAGCACAAAATAGGTAGGAAAGAAGCCTAAGGCATATGTGCAGGGTGCACACCGACCCTGCTTCTAAAGGGTCTTAGGAGTCCAGGAAGGTGGCTGGTTGCAATTTAAAGTCTAACACAATCTAGGTGCAAACCAGTAATAGAGATTATGCTGCCAATTAAGTTCACCTGTCACGGTGCATCCTTAACATGGCCCGTGTTAATTCACACATGTTGTTCTCTGGTGTGGTTTTCGTGGCAGAAGTAATTGTGGCCCTACTTTTGGAGACTGCATGAAGGTAGCTCTGACACGCTGCAGACCACAGTGCTATTAGGCAACTCTCTCTTCAGTTAGGCCTTTTGCTTCTCTCATCAGTGAGATGGCTAAGTTGGAGCAGGACCAGGAGAGCTCTCCTCCCCTCAGGAGCATGTTGGAGGCCTTCTGTACTGTGCCCTGGGTTGCCCCAGGGTCTTATGGTAGAGGGAATGGAACTAGTCCTTTACTGCTGAGCCTCCTCAGACTGCCCATACTATTTCATGTAGGACAGGCTGAGGAAGAAGGTGGCTGAGGACGACCCAGCATATCAAGTAACCTTAAGGCAGATTTACTTCCAAAGGCTCTAGAGATTAAGTGGGCTTCCTTTGACTCATTCTTCGGGAGCTCTTATGACAGACAGCCCTTTATGGGAAGACCTAAGCATTATCCCCAGAGGCCAGTGCCTATGGGAGACTGGACTCTGAATCTGGTTATGCTCAACACTGTGCTGCCTTGCCAAGGACTCGCACCCAGAAGTTGGCCCAGGACATGTGCCCTTGTCTTACTCAGCTTAGCCTGTGCTTACTACAGCAGCCCATTAACCAGAGTCCTTTGAAGCATGCCTCTGGGGGCCCCACCAGGGACAGGCTGGCACTAGAGAAGACCGAGTATGGGTAAAGATGGAGGCGGACAAGGAAAGATAGTAGGATGCTTTTGAACCCTTTACACATGGCAGGATTTCAGGGAACCAAAACAGCTCCAGACTGGAATCTGACTGCACGTGAGTGGCCTGAACCTGGCAAAAGGTGGGAGGAGAGGGGCTCAGGCAAGCATGTGCTTCCATATATAAGGGATGTGCTGGGCCAGGAAGGAGGATTCTGGGTCTATATGTGAGAGTGAATGGGGAAAAGAATTAGTGCCGGGCGGTGGTGGCGCATGCCTTTAATCCCAGCACTCGGGAGGCAGAGGCAGGGAGAGATCTCTGAGTTTGAAGCCATCCTGGTCTACAGAGTGAGTTCCAGGACAGCCAAGGAAACCCAGTCTCAAAAAACCAAAAATAAAAAATAAAAATAAAAAAAAGAGCCAATGCCAGAGCTGGGTGTGGCAGCACACACCTTTATTCCCAGTATGCAGGAGGCAGAGGTAGGTAGATCTCTGAGTTTGAGGACAGCTTTGTCCACACAGTAAGTTCCTGACAGTGAAGGCTACATCGAGAGAGCTACAAAGTCTCAAAAACCAACCAAACAAACAAACAAACAAAAGAGCCAATGACAAGTGCAACAAGTGTCTTTCCCAAAGCACTTTAATGTACCAACCCACAGTCCCTGCCTGCTGGCTGGGCAGGAGAAGCCAGCCTCACCTGGAGGCTCCCATGGCTTCCCACGCCCAGTGTGCCTTCCCACTTCCCTCAATAGGTGAGGGGTGTGAGGATGAAGAGCCGGTCTTCCTCTTTTCGGATCCATCGCATCAGCTTATGGATGGCACTGACAGCTGATGCCTTGGTTCCCAGTGGGCTGTAGCACATGTAGAGCTCAAAGGCACCTGTCACCTGGAGGAGGGGGCAAAGGGTCATCACCTAGAATAGGCATGCCTCTTGTGGCATCTACCCAGTATCCGGAGGAAGACCAGTTCATCTAGGGCCACCTTACCCAGGCTAGGAGGTTCTCATTGGGGCCTGTATAGTAGATGGTCTTGAGTGGGCGCGAGGCATTGTGAGCGCGGCTGTGCAGATACTGGTAGAGGCCCAGCAGCCGCTCTTGCTCCTCTTCACTGGTGTACGGGGCCTCAATCTCAGGGCTGCAGACGGAGAAGCAGGGTCACAAAGGAGTGCCTGTCACTGTCCTCTCAGGAAAACTAGAAATGCCTGTTTCTGGACAGGGAGATTTTACTTCTCCTCAGGTGCTCCCCTATGACAGGGTATGGTCTTCTGGCTACAGAAGACCACCCAGGACAAACTGGACCCTGCACCCCCTGCCAGGTTCACAGTGAACCTTTGGTGGCCCTTTCCTTGGAGAGGCCACTTCTGAATTTAGGTGTCTAACAGAGTAGCAAGTCTAGAGTAGAGGTGGTTTCCTGGGAAATCTTCAGAACCAAAAGTGGGGGTGGGGTGGACATATCTGCCCACCTCCTTTAGTGGAGGAGTGGGGGTAGGGGCAGACTCTGCATCCTGCCCTGGACAAAAATGACCCTAAAGGCAGAGCTGCTCCAGGGCAAAGGACCTGGGAAACTTCTATTCCAGCTTCTTTCCCAAGTTGTTCCAGGCCTACATGTGTTGAAGTAGAGAGGTGTATGCCCACCCAGTGATGCCAGAGGAAAACAGCCCCAGAATACCGGTACACTCTCAAAGGAGCGGTCAGTTTCAGAGCTGCATCTTAGGTCTCAAGACCAGCCAGCCTCCCCCCATCTCTGCATCCTTGTCTCCCTGAAGCAGTGCCTCCTCTCACCTGGTGAAGAGTCCTGAGCTCTTTGACTTATAGAGGAAGTGGCGAAGGTCAGGGATGCCCACTTGGGCAACGCTGTAGTAAGGCGTGCGCAGCGCCTCCCGCAGGGCCAAGTGGGCTCCCCGCTTTCGAAGGCGTTCCTGGAAGCGGCGGCGGCAGTCAGAGACCGCAAAGAAGTCCTCACGGTCGGTGGAGACTAGCAGCAGGCAAAGGTCGGTGTCAGGTTCTAGGTAAGAGATGTGTGCGTGGAAGAAGCCGGCCGCATTGAACTTTGGCAGGCACACGGGGGTCCATGCCTCGCCCTCACGGAAGGATGAGGAGGAACTAATGAGGTTGAAAAGCAGGTGCAGGTCGATGGGATGCAGGAATTGGTCCTTGCGGCGCACTAGCGCCACCAGCTGGTTGCGGGCCAGCAGAATGGAAAAGACCAGGCTGCGAGCACGTGCCTGCTGCAGGCTGGCACTCACCGTGTCCCGCACTGCCGCTGCCAAGGGCAGGCACCGCGCTGCGCCCATCAGGAAACTGGGGTCTCGAGCCATTAGCTGCAGCAGGTTATCCGTGATTCGCTCCGAGCCTGAGAGAAGGCGCCGCAGGTCGTAGTTCTGCTTCTGCTGGAAGATGTGGCTCAACTGCGCGCCAGTTAGAAGGCTCAGGATCTGGTAGTAGATGTACAGTAGCTCCTGGGCCAGCTCCTGGGCCGACTGCCGTGTGCGGGCCACCGCCACCAGCACCAGAGGGCTCCGGCGCACGAATACTACCTTGTAGCCATCTAAGGGTGTGGGCAGGAGGTCAGCTTCAGCCCTCCTCCCAGAAGCCCTCCCGGATAGGCTTTCCCAGTGGGCTTCTCTTTTCAGGGTTTCTTTGCTGGGAGCTCTGAATTCAGTAGGGGCTTATTGGTTGTGGACAGCCAGTCACCTCCCTTCCCTGCCAGCTGCTTCACAAACTAACTCTCTCGGCCACACAAGAAGCTCTTCAGGAAAACACACTCTTTGCATCTCAAGTAGCCCAGGTTGACCCAGATATACATCACCAAGCCCAGCTCAGGAAAACACATTTTACGCTAAATGCTAACTCGATGGGCTTAGGATCTGGGATTGTTTTTTTTTTTCTCTATTTTTTAATTTATTCATATTTTTGTTTCTGCCCCAGGAGGCTTTCATCCTCTCCAATGGCAAAACTCTTGTTAGAACTGCCTTTAGCTCTCACTACAGCTCCATCTCCTCAGGAAGCTATCCTACTTCAGTACGAGCATGAGGCTCAGAAAAATGAGAGGACTTTACTCTCGTGCAAACAGCACAGCCCAGCTTTGTGTGTGTGAGTGTGTGTGTGTGTGTGTGTGTGTGTGTGTGAGTGTGTGTGTGTGTGAGTGTGTGTGAGTGTATGTGTGTGTGAGTGTGTGTGAGTGTGAGTGTGTGTGTCTCTGGTGTATGTGTGTCCAAAACTGGGTATAAATAAACCCTGCCACTGGCGCCTTCCCCACAACCCTCTTCAGGTGGCTCACCTGCATGGATGGAGCGGATGGCATTCTTGTCTGCCTCCAGGAAGGACACCAGGGCAACCATGACACCCATAGTGCTGGAAAGTGCTTCCTCAGACCCATAGCGAGAGTACACGGGCTTCCCTGCCTCACTCAGTACAAACACATGCTTCTGGTGGAGGCGCCATGCCTCGGTAGCGTCCTCCTCATCCCCTTCAGTTGTGCCCTCTTGAGAGGGCTCTGTGGCTGGCCCTCCGGCTGCCCCCTGGAGCTCTAGCCAGTCTTCAGAGCTTCCTGGCAGCATTTCCTCCTGCAGGTCACGGGCCACCCCTGTCAGTTGGGTGCTTAGCTCGCTGAAGTCCTGGCTGATCTGGCGCATGTCTGTAGGCAGTGGCGGGGGACTCCCAGCATACTCTTTGGGGCTGTCCCCAGAAGCTTCCCTGTCTTCTGACTCTGTCAGGTCTTCATAGGAACGTGCATGGACAAACATGGCACCCTCCTGCCCCGCACCTGCAGACCAAAGGCACTGGTGCTTAGAGAGGTAGCTGCTGGCAGACACCACTCACCAAGGAGATGCTGAGAGGGTCACTGCCTGTCTTGATGGGGCCAAGCTACTGACCTCCCTACCATTGCCCACCAAGAATCTAAAGGTTCTTGGTCCTAAGGCAGCAATGGAAACTGGTGTCTGCCTACCCCTCACTAACACTGAACAACTCACTCACCCCTTTGCCCATTCTAAACACACTGGCCTTTATCCATCTGTGCTTTGGACCACCCCCACCCCTTCCCAGGAGCTCTGCACCTGCCCTGTACCTGGAAGGTGTCTCCATCTTCCCATGTGGGTGGGTATTTGTCACACTTCCGCTCTTGGGTAAGATGTAGCTACTTACACACCTGACCTCCTGACCTTCTGACCTCTAACCCCAGGTACTATCATTTTCTCCCTTTGATTTTCTTTGGAACACTAACTAGTTATTGGTCACTACAATGGTATCCCCCAAGAATACAAGTTCAGTTATTTGCCCTCTCCATCCTTGAGGGAGGGCTACCATACCCCTGACCACTAGCCTGAAGCGTAAATATTGCTTCCTTCTTGTGTCCATTCCTACATCCAAAAGGTGCTGAGAGCCTGTCTATGCCCCACATTATCACTTCCTGTCTCCACCTCCTGAGTGCTGGGATTAGAGGCCTGAGCCACCACTGCCTGGCTTCTTATGGTTAACTAGTGGCCAGCTCCACCCTCTTATCTCCAGGCAAGCTTTATTTGTCAGAACACAAACAAAACACCACACAACACTAGCCTGTGGCTTCTCCAGGACAGGGGCCATGTTGGACTTCTCTTACATATTTTTGGGGTTCTGGAATTTAAGGACTGAGGCATACTGGGCAAATACTTGACTAATAAGCTGAAGCCCCAACCCCTACTTTGCTTTCTTCTCTCAGAAATATGGTCTTACTACAGAGCCCTGGCTAGCCTTAAACTCATTATGTTGCCCTAGGCTGGCCATGATCTCACACTAATCTGCTTCAACCCACAGGTGCTGGGATTACAGGTGCACACCACCATGTCCAGCTTTTTTTTCTTTTTGAAACACAGTTTGAATTTTTATTAAAAGATATTTTAGCCAGGTGGTGGTAGTCCACTCCTTTAATCCCAGCATTTGGGAGGCAGAGGCAGATGGAGCTCTATGAGTTTGAGGTCAGCCTGGTCTATAAAGTGAGCTCTAGGACAGCTAGGGCTGTTACACCAAGAAACTGTGTCTCAAAGAGAGAGAGAAAGAGAGAAAGATTTTAAATATAAACTTTTAAGTAAGAGTGTTAAGAGAAGCCGGGCAATGGTGGTGCACACCTTTAATCCCAGCACTCAGGAGGCAGAGGCAGGTGGATCTCTGTGAGTTCGAGGCCAGCCTGGTCTCCAGAGTGAGTGCCAGGATAGGCTCCAAAGCTACACAGAGAAACCCTGTCTCAAAAAACCAAAAAAAAAAAAAAAAAAAAAAAAAAAAAAAAAAAGAGTGTTAAGAGAATGGGCTGGAGAGATGGCTCAGCGGTTAAGAGTACTGACTGTTCTTCCAGAGGTTCTGAGTTCAATTCCTGGCAACCACATGGTGCCTGACAACCTTTAATGAGATCTGGTGCCCTCTGCTGGCATGCAGGCAGAAGACTGTATACATAATAAATAAAATCTTTGAAAAAAAAAAAAAAGAGAAGAAAGGCATTTTAGATCTTTCCTTATTTTTCTTATAAGAGACAGATTCTCACAGTTGTTTAGGCTGGTACAATATGAAATGGCAAGAAAGGTAACTGCAGTATCCCCAGCATGTGACAAAGACCTAATAAATGAGCAAATATACAAGTGAGTAGGGAAGAAAGAGTGTTTATGACCTCCTCTCCCCCGTGGAGGCGTGGCTGTCCCACTATTCTCTGGGTGGGGACTGCATGCTCTACCCATACCTGGCTCTGTTCCCTGTGTCAGTCCTGGTGTGGGGCTTTCAGCTCTCTCAACACCTTGGCCATCGGAAGGAGCCAACGTGCCATCGGGGCATTCGCTGCTTCTCTTCCTCTGCATGTCAGCAGCCATCTTTTGGACCGTCCTATGAGAAAAAAAAAAAAAAAAAGAGGCATCATGGAGAGCAAAGGAGTCAGGTTCTGGTAGACACCAGTGTGGTTAGCAGTGCGAAGTTTCTTACCAGGACTCCACTAAGTCAAATCCCTGGGAAATAACTTCTGGGTATTCTCTTATAAAAAAAATTAAATTTTAGCTGGGCGGCGATGGCATTTAATCTAAGCACTCACTCAGGAGGCAGAGGCAGGTGGATCCAGAAGCTGAAGGGCAGCCTGGTCTACAGAGTGAGTTCCATGACAGCTAGGACTGCCTCGAAAAACCAATAAATAAGTAACATAAAAATTAAGTTTTAAGTTTTTTTTCTGGATGTGGTAGCTGGTACCTCTAATCCCAGGACTCGAGAGGCAGAGTCAGGAGAATTGCCCAGAGTGCCAGGCTGGCTACAGCTACATAATAAACCTTGTTTTAAAAACTAAAACCTGTCTCTCTCCTTCTCCCTTCCATCTTCCCTCTCACTTTCCTGGAAATTGAACCCAGGGCCTTGTGCATAGTAGGTAGACACTTTATCACCAAGCTATACCCAGCCATTATGTTCCTTTTCTGATTATAAAAAGACGCATTCGTCGAAGAAAACATGGGAACACAGAATAGTACAATGAAATGTCATTAATTCTCTCTTTACCATTCAATCTTCCTAGATACACTGACAGTGTTAGCTGCTATTAGTAATTTGTTTAAAAACATGCTTTTTAGTTTTTATTTTGCTTTTGTTTTTTGCTTGTTTGTTTTCAAGACAGGGTTTCTCTGTGCAGCCTTGGCTGTCCTGGAACTCGTTCTGTAAACCAGGCTGGACTTGAACTTACAGAGATTCACCTGTCTTTGCCTCCTGAGTGCTGGGATGAAAGGCGTGCCCCACCACACCAGTTTAAAAACATACATTTTAATCTACATTTAAAATTATTTATTTAGAGCCAGGTGGTGGTGCTCGCAGGCAGATCTCTGAGTTTGAAGCTAACCTGGTCTACAAAGTGAATTCCAGAACAGTTAGAGCAGTTATACAAGGAGAAACCTTGTTTCAGAAAACCATAACCAAAACAACACAACAACAACAAAAACTTATTTAGAGCTGAGTATTCCAAAGTGTGTGTGTGTGTGTGTGTGTGTGTGTGTGTGTGTGTGTGTGTGTGTAACTGTATGCACCTGTGTGCTAGCGTGGGAGGCAGAAGAGAACATCAGGTGTTTCATATTTTCTCAGCAAAACTAGACATAGTAGTGCACGCCTTTAATCCCAGCACTCCGAGGCAGAGGCAGGTAGATCTCTCTGAGTTTGGGGCCAGCCTGGTATACAGAGCGTGTTCCTGGACAGCCAGGGCTGTTATACAGAGAAATCCTTTCTGGAAAGAACCAAAACAAGCAAACATTTTCTCAGCTAATCTGGAAGCCACGCAAATCTAAGCAATCTTCCTCTCTGTCCCTCTTGGAGTTGGGGTTGCAAGTTATTTGTGAGGCTTGTTGTGTAAATGTTGCATCTCAACTCCAGTCCTCACCGTTTTGAGGAAACACTCTTAACCACTGAACAATCTCTCCAGCCCCTGTCTGGAAATAATTCTGAGTAGCTTCCTTCCAAGCAGTGGTCCATTCTACTAGCATCTGAACACTGCCTCCCACTTGCTACAGCATGGGAAAACACAGCTAGAAGATTATGTGTAAGCTCTTAAGTACTTCAGGGTCAAAGCTGTTTAGAATTAGTGCCATAGCTAAGGGGGTTGAGAAATGTGGACAGACAACTGCTAAGCAGTAAGGTTTCTGCCACAGCATCTCCATTTCTCCTATTCTCTCTGGAATCTGTTACATCCAGACATTATTCTACCAGTGACCCCCAAGATCAACTCACTTCATCCTGAACAGTAATAGAAACCCCTGACACATTCCCATCCCTTCCCCTCCTTTGTTTCCCTCCCTTGCCTTACCTTTTTTATTTTTCTAGACAGTGTCTCGCTTCATAGCCAAGGCTTCTCTGTTGCTCTGAGGTTCACTATATAGTGCAGTCTCTCCTCCAAGTACTGGGATTACATGTTTATGCACCCAATCTTGGCTTACTTTTTCTCTCCTAAAGCACTTTCCACTCTGGGCTTCTAGTGCACCATTCTCTTTTCTTGGTTCCCCTCATGACATCATGGACTACCCATCTGTGTCTTTTTTACAGTTCTTATTGGAGGGGCCCAGAGTTGGCCCAAATGCTTCTCATTTGTCTTCATTCAATGCCTTTGTGATCTCATTCTGGTCTCATAGTTTTAAACTACCTCTACACATTAGTGAATCCAATTTTTTTTTTTTCGAAACAGGGTTTCTCTGTATTGCTTTGAAGCCTGTCCTGGAACTCACTCTTTAGACCAGGTTGGCCTTGAACTCACAGAGATCCGCCTGCCTCTGCCTCTGCCTCTGCCTCCTGAGTGCTTGGATTAAAGGTGCATGCCACAAATGCTCAGCCCCAATTTTTACTCCTAGCCCCAATATTTCTTCTATTTACAGGAGGCATACACACATAACTATCTAATTTGTTATCTTAAGGTTATACACCCCAAACCAAGATCCCAATCTACCTCTCTTTAAAGACTTGTCCTTGCTAGGTATGGTGGCACACACTCAGAATCCTAGCACTTGAGACTTGGAGGCCAGAGGCTCTGGAGTTCAAGGTCATTCTAAACTACAAAGGAAGCAAGTTCAAGTCCACTCTTGCTTAAGTGAGACCTTGTCTCAAAAGAACAAACCAATGGGGAGGGTGGTTGGAGAAATAGCTCAGCAGTTAAAAATATTTACTGCTCTTCTAGAAGATCCAAGTTTGGTTCCCAGCTCCATGTTAGGCCCGTAACTGCCCCTAACTCCCACTCCAGGAAACAGATCTCCTCTTCTGGCCTCCACAGGCATGCACACAAGTGCATACATTTACACAGACATATACACATGAGTAAAAGAATAAAAGTAGCCGGGTGTTGGTGGTGCACACCTTTAATGCCAGCACTCAGGAGGCAGAGGCAGGCGGATCTCTGTGAGTTTGAGCCAGCCTGGTCTCCAGAGCGAGTGCCAGGATAGGCTCCAAAGCACACAAAGAAACCCTGTCTCAAAAAAACTAATAATAATAATAATAAATAAATAAAATTAAAATCTTAAAAGTGAGTAACTAGTGTAACTAGTGGGAGGAAGACAATAAGTGGTTCCTTTTACAGAATAACCTATCAGTGTTAAACGGTAAATGCCTATATCCAATAGTTGACAATTTCTTTTCTTTTTTTCCAAGACACTGTTTCTCTGTGTACCCTGGCTGTCCTGGAACTCACTCTGTAGACTAGGCTGGCCTTGAACCCAGAGATCCACCTGCTTCTGCCTCTTGAGTAATGGGAATCAAGTTGTGTGCCACCACACTGGGCTCAATAGTTAATTATTTCTTATCAACTCCATGATTATCTGACTGGTCCAAGCCACCATGATCTCTCTAGCAAATTATTGCCAAACCTCCTAACCAGTCCTAATGCCTAACCACCACTTCTGTCTTTGCATTCAAGGTGAGCCTCCTGAAACACAGGTCAGGTCACATGGTGCCTTGGCTCACAAGGCCCTTTCCCCTTTACTTCTCCAAGGTTGTTCTCTACCCTGTCTTCCCACCTCTTCTCCACATCAGCTCAGCTTTTCCTGAACAGCTCTTCACCTAACCTTTGCCCCTTCCTCTACTCTCACCCAACTTTGTTTATAGCCCTTCCTTCCTAGGCCAGTACATGACTCATTCCCTCACGTCAGGAGGGAACTGCTGGAGTACCTTATCAGAGAGGCTTTCCAGCAATACACCTGTTCACCCTGATTTTCTTCTAGCTTGAAGGTCACACTTCCTGTGACCTGCTACATAGGAGACATATGCAGGAGAAATTAAACCAACATTTAACAAATAAAAATCTTTGGAGGAGAAAGGAAATGAAAGGTCTGTGATGAACACCTAGTTCAAATGTATCTAGGATCAGTCAAGAAAACCCTTGTCTGGAGAGACAGCTTGTCTTTGGAAGTAATCAGGAAAAACAGCTCTGTAGTTAGAGGGACTGGTTTTACTGGTCTCAGTTTTCTCACCTAACAAATGGTATGGAATGGAAGCGGAATGGTGGTGGTGCACGCCTTTGATCCCAGCACACAGGAGGCAGAGGCAGGTAGATCTCTGTGAGTTCAACTCCAGCCTGGTCCACAGAGCAAGCTCCAGGACAGCCAGGGCTGTTACGCAGGGAAACCCCGTCTGGAAAAATCATGTGAATAAATAAATGGTGTGGAGTGGAGCTGCCACTGATTTACGGAGTAATAAGATTAAAGGAGGGTAATTCATGGGATCTGGCTACACAGAGCAGGCATATCATACACTCAGCTGCTTGTATTAACACATTGTGGTCATTGTTAGCATTCAGACTGCATGCACACGCAGATCCAGTGGTCTCTGTCCTGCCAATTGATCCTTTGGGAATGAATGTCCTTAGGAAGCCAGGTGACTTCCAGTTTGACCTCTGTCAGGTCATAGAGCCATCCATGCGCCTCAGCCTCAGAGTACCAAGCAAACTGGCTGATCTCTGACTGTGCAGTTACAGAAACAGGTGACTAGCTCATGCTGCTCCTATATATCTCTTCCAAGTTTACCTCCTAGGTCTGCATAATGCCCCTCTTTGTGGTCTTGTACTTCTGGCTGAAAGATCCAAACAAGTTCTACACCAGCTTCACTCTGTCCCGAGGACCCACTCTGTCAGTATGCCTTTTGTGCTTCCATTAAAGGAGCCCAGAGTTTCTGAGTGTCCCCAGCATGGTACCTGCATGGGGAAGGGAACAGGGTCAGATGTCTAGAGCTAGCAGATGCTTTTTTCACAACAGTCCCTCTGCTGTGTGAGCTCATATAGCATCTTTATCCTCTCCAAGGTCAGTGTGGGGTTCTATCCGGGAGGCCCGGTGAAGCAAACAGCTTTCTGGATAGCCAAGCACTCAGGCAGGAAGGCTGAGTGGATCAGGTAAACCCACCTCCCACCTCACCTGGGGCTTTAACCTTTGCAGCTGACTCCTGGGAAGCTGGGCCTGAAGCAGTTAGGTAAGAGGTATCTCAGACCATCCCCGGAAGTCTACAAGAACACTTTTTAGGCAGCTCCTCTAAATGTCCCCTGGACATGCAACTTTTCCTAGAAGTGCCCTGCAAAGCCTATGAGTGTTGTCACCAAACTAATTGGTGTTATCCCTCCTGCTGTTCCTCCTCCCCTCAGATGGCTCCTGAAAGGGGTCTTGCAAAAGCCCCTTCACACTGGCTCCTAATTACCTTGAGCCTCCTTGCCGTTCTGACGGTGCTTCACCTTTGGCCTTTGGCGTTGACCCTCTGGGCCGTCTGGGAGGAGGACGAAGAATGCATGACAGAAGGACCCAGTTGAGACTTGCTGTGGGTGTTTCAGCGGGATGCCTACTCTATAGTGAGCCTAGCCTGATCCTGGTCACCTCTGGAGGCCACTCCCCTTCCTGACAAAGGCTACTCACATTTCCCAAGCAAACTCCAGCCCAGAAAGGGTCGGCTCACCTAGATTAAGGGCAGTCTAGTTATCTGAGCCAGGACACCCTTGAGAACAAAGTCTCAAGACCGAGACCCTTCCATGAGCTGCCTGGCACACTCCACCTCCCCTTTTCGTTTTTTAAGAGAACTCTGAGGGCAGAGTAAGTCCGAATTGGGGGTTGGTGTCTTAACCAGCTACTGCTGCCTATGGGACATTGATCTCTCGGTCAAAAAAAATGAGTTCTTGCCTCATCTTTCGTATTGCCCAGTTGGGGCCAGCCGGCTGAAAGACCCCAAGGAGACACAGTGCTCCTAACCGTGCAGTAGATGGCCGGGACCCCCCAGTTTCCAAGCCCCTCCCTCTAAAGATGACAGCTTGCCCGCCTCTCGCCGCCCCCAGGCCACGTGGGTTGGCAGTCGAACTCACCTGTTTCTTGGGGGAACACACGACCTACCGAGGGTGCCAGTCACTGCCCTCTGCCAGACCCCTGGGCGGATATGAGTGTCCAGCCGTGCCTGGCCTGAGGCTGCAACTTCGTGGGGCTACCGCCCCTAGAGGATACAGGCATGGCCACAGCGGAGGAACCGATCTCTCCTGCCGACCCTTAACCGGCCACCGGCGCAGGAAGACAGCTTTCACCGGCCTCTGGTGGCAGAGGCCCGGTTCCAGCCGCTTGGCCAGTCCCAGCCCGCCCCTCGGTGCATTGTGGGAAATGTAGTTCATAGCTCTCGCAGCCTAAGCCTTGCGGGAGCGGTTCCGGGCTTCGGAGCCCGGCAGAGCCAGAGGCGGGGTCTGACCCAGGTCCCGGCTTGCCTCACCTGGCACCGCCTTCTTCCGTGTCTTAGAGGCCGGTCCCCCCTTCCCCCACAAAGCCCTCAGAGGTTTACTTCAAGGGACGGTAAAGGGCGTCGGTATTTCCCCGCGGATCGTGGAAAGAAAAACGTAAGTTTAGGGAGTTGGATAAATGTCATTAGTGAGCCCAGCCACACTGACTGTAAAGGATGTGGACATATTGAAAGGCGCACAAATTGTTGCTTAAAAAAAAATTGTTGCTGCCGGGTGGTGGCGCACGCCTTTGATCCCTGCAGAGGCAGGTGGATCTCTGTGAGTTTGAGGCCAGCTTGGTCCACAGAGTGAGTCCAGGACAGCCAAGGCTACACAGAGAAACTCTGTCTCGAGAAACGCCACCCCAATTTTTGTTTAATTGTTGCTTAAGAAAATGTTGCTTACCCTGGTCTCAATATATTAGTATAAGACTCAAGAAGGCACAGTTCTCCACACTTCGCATAGACTGACCTGGGGAACTTTTAGAAACCATTAATGCCTGGACACCACCCCTAGAGATTTTTTACTTAATTGGATGAGTGTGAGGAACTAGGCATCGGATTTATTTTTTTCAAGCTCCCATGTGATTTCTAAGGGCAAAGAACACCTCTTGTAATTAATTTCCTAGAATAAAGTAACAAAACCAGGAAAACCAGTTTTCCCAGCAACCTTTACTTTTGGCAAACAGTTTAAAGAAGCAAAATAAGGGGATGGCAATAGCATTATTTATATTGCCCCTGAAGCAGTTTGCTCACTTCTTGAGCTTCTTGGTTAATTATCCCAATAGTTCTGGATGAAGGGCAAAAGTCAGAAACCTCTGATCCTTTCTTGCTGTTGGACAAGCACCTTCAGGTGGTGAGTCCCCTGGGGCTCACTCAGTCCTATCCAGAAGTTAGGGAGATCTGTGTCTCTGGGTATGCCGTTCTGAACCTGTCTCCACAATACCGGCATATGTATGACTGACATGGAGACAAAGCTGTGATCTCTTACTTATGACTTTGCATGGGGTTAATAGAACCTTGGATGCTGGATAAGGGGAGCTTACCATGAGAGAAAGAGTTCATTCCCTTGGAATGGAGAGCAAGAGAAGGAAAGTGGAGCTTCTCAGGTCTCCACGGGATTGGAGGATTTCCCTCTTGGCTAGCTCAGTGTTCCAGGTTCCCTATCTTGAGTTAAATATAATTTATACAGTTTTGTTCTGTATACTCCATCTCATATTATTTCATTGTACGAGTGTTTCATGTTTATACTGTGTAAAGATGTATCACTGTGATTGGTTAAAAAAAAAAGCTAAGTGGCCAATAGCTAGGCAGGGACCATAGGCGACACTTCCAGGCAGAGGCTGAGCTGGTGAGCCAGGGAGAGAAGGAACCGAGGCTTGGAGACAGATGCCAGGAGATACTGAGAGGAAACAATGCCACGTGATAGAACATAGATTAAAATAAATAGATTAAGTTATAAGAGCTAGTTAGGAACAAGCCTAAGCTGTAGGGCGAGCTTTCATAATTAAATTTTTATTAATTAAATTTCATAATCTGTGTCATTTGGGAACCTGGTGGCAGGATAGAGAAAGACTTGTTACATAGGAGTCTAAGGCAAGAGTTTTCTTTCTTTCTTTCTTTCTTTTTTTTTCGAGACAGGGCTTCTCTGTGTAGCTTTGGAGTCTATCCTGGCACTCGCTCTGGAGACCAGGCTGGCCTCGGTCTCACAGAGATCCGCCTGTCTCTGCCTCCTGAGTGCTGGGATTAAAGGCGTGCGCCACCATCGCCCATCAAGAATTTTCTTTGTGTGATGATGGGGATTAAACCCAGAGCCTAGAACATGCCAACTAATAATCTACCATTGAGCCTCAGCCCTAATTCTAGAACAGTGGTTCTCAACTTATGGGTCTTGACCCCTTGGGGTGGAAAATCAGATATTTACATTACAATTCATAATAGTAACAAACTTACAGTTACAAAGTAGCAACAAAAATAATTTTATGGTTGGGATCACCACAGCATAAGGAAGTGTATTAAAGGGTCTCAGCATTAGGAAGGTTGAGAACCACTGCTCTAGAAGATTTCTCTTTCTTTCTTTCTTTCTTTCTTTCTTTCTTTCTTTCTTTCTTTCTTTCTTTCTCCCTCCCTCCCTCCCTCCCCCCTCCCTTCCTTCCTTTCTTTTCTCTTTCTTTTTTTTTTTGAGACAGGGCTTCTCTATGTAGCCTTGTCTGTCCTGGAACTCACTCTGTAGACCAAGCTGGCCTCGAACTCAGAGATCCCCCTGCCTCTACCTCCCAAGTGCTGGGATTAAGGGTGTGCACCACCACTGCCCATTTCAAGAGTCTCATTCTTTTTTTGTGTGTGTATAAGTGTGTTCAGTGTTCATGTATGTGCCCATATGTATGGGAATATGAACAGGTGCGTGCGTGCGTGCGTGCGTGCGTGCGTGTGTGTGTGTGTGTGTGTGTGTGTAGGCCAGAGGTCTACAATGGATGTTATTCTAACTAGCTTCAACTTTCAACTGTCACATTGACACAGCCTACTCAACTGAAAAGCAAGTCTGAATGAGAACCTTCAAGATCATATTGACCCATGAGCATGTCTGTAGGGAATTGTTTTGATTGTTAATTGATGAAGGAATGCCCAGCCCTTTATGGTTAATACTATTCCCTGGGCAGGCAATCCTGGGCTACATAAGAAGGCTAACTAAGCATGAGTGGGTGAGCTAGTGAGCAGCATGTGTTCTTTCATGGTTTCTGCTTCAAGTTCCTGCTTGATTTCCGCTCTGACTTTCCTCAAGGATCAACTGTAACCTATAAGCTTAAACAAACATTTTCCTCCCCTAAGCTACCTTTGGTGAGATGTTCTATTGCAGCAGCAGGAAGGAAACTAGAACAGGTGTCTTCCTTGATGTTTTTTCACTTTATTTTTTGAGATAAGGCCTTTCATTGGGCCTGGAGCTCATGATTGATTAGACTGGCTTGGCCAGCAAGCTTCAGGGATGCATGTGAACCTGTAGCCCCAGCACTGGGGTTAAAGATGCTTACCAATGTGCCTGGCTCTTACCCACTGAGTCATTGCTTTCCCCAGTCCTCACTCTTGCTCCTAAGTGCAAAAGTCCCATCAGATGTGAGTACTGTATTCACAGAGTAGTCTATCTACTCAGACAAGTAAGTGACCATGCATCCAAACATTTCTAAGATTTGTTCTTAGAACACTCTTAAAAGCAAGCTACTTATTGAAACATCTTGTTTGTTTGAAGACAAGTTTCATGTAGCCCAGGCTGGCCTGCACTTCTGATCCTCCTGTTTCTACCTCCCAAGTGTTGATCACAATGAGTGGAATTTTTTTTCTTCCTGTGCACATGGATGTCTGTGAGTCCCAGGCCAGCCTTTCTACAATTGAGTTCTAGGACAACCAGAGCTGTGTAATGAAGCCCTTTCTCCAGAAAAAAAAAGTTATATAAAATGTTTTATAGTATGTCTTTATTAATATGTAATTTTAAAAAATAAATAAATAATCACGAGTGCTGGGATTAAAGGCATATGCTACCAATGCCTAGCAAGCTTGGGAGGCAGTAGCAGGCCGATCTCTGAGTCTGAGGTCAGCCTGGTCTACAGAGTTCCAGTTCAGCCAGGGATACATAGAGAAACCATGTTTACGCCGGGCAGTGGTGGTGCACGCCTTTAATCCCAGCACTCGGGAGGCAGAGGCAGGTGGAGAGTTCAAGGCCATCCTGGTCTACACAGTTAGTTGCAGGACAGCCTCCAAAGCCACAGAGAAACCCTTGTCTCAAAAAAACAAAACCAAACAAAAAAAAAAGGAGAAACCATGTTAGAAAAAAAGGAAGGAAGGAAGAGAAAGAAAGAAAGGAAACTGATACTTTGTAATGGTACACTATAAAAGAACCAGGAAAGTAAAGTTGCAGTCTCCCCATGAACTGTATTTATGGTTTAAAGTTCTGATACTAAAAGAGCTTAAATTAGGAAATGATTATTTTTTAAAGTTCAAACTTAACAGAGATAAGGTTGCAAGTCCTAACTTTTTTTTTGGTTTTTCGAGACAGGGTTTCTCTGTGGCTTTGGAGGCTGTCCTGGAACTAGCTCTTGTAGAGCAGGCTGATCTCGAACTCACAGAGATCTACCTACCCTCTGCCTCCCAAGTGCTGGGATTAAAGGCATGCGCCACCAACGCCCGGCTTGCAAATCCTAACTTATTTTAACCTATTAAAGATAATTAAAACATGAAAGTTAATGGTCAGTCACCTTATATATTATCCAATTCTTTAATGTTCTCAGAACTATGCTTGTTCAAATGTAATTCATTTACAACAACAGTTTTATTTAGCCTCCTGTATGTGTTTTTAAGGTTAAGTCTAAAACTTGTAACTAAGAACAAAGTTTGTTTAAAATCAGGTATATTTAGTAGATTGCTGTTCACAGACTCTTCAGAGATCTTCTGAATGTGGCATTTAAAGGTTTAAAGGTTCTGACTATCTTGTGATAGTCAGAAATGCCGGCTCCTAGAGGCCATCCTAAGGTCTCCAAAGAAGACTATGGGGCACAGATGATGCTACCTGGATTGTGGTAATGCTAACCACTAAGGAAACACTGCCCCCTGCCTCAGCTGCCACCAGGACCCTGCCCAAACTGTGGGCAAGCAGGACACTGGAGAGTGCCACACTTTGCCTAGACAAGCTAGGCCAGTCCCCCAAGTTCCTCCACCACTGGAAAGTCTCTCAGATCATCTGGGCTTAGCAGTCAAAGACTGACACTGCTCTGGGACCTCTGCTCACAACTAAGCCATCGAGACCCCAGGAGCCTAGGGTAACTGTCTAGGTAATGGGTAAGTCTCTGTTATCTAATTGATACATAGACCATTTGGATTATACTT